GCCAAGCTTCACTGTGAACGCAGAAAAGAACTTGCAGTTACTTCGTACTAGAGGTGTCAAAATGGGTGGGTGGCTTGAACGGATTTGGGTTGGATAAAATGGATAATGGGTATAAGTGAGTCAACCCATTTATATTCATTTAATTAGATGGGTATAAATGGGTAAGTCAAAAAATGAATTGGATAACCCAATTACTCATTTATAACCCATTTATTTTAACTTTTGTAAACTCATTTAAGTTCATTTTTGCAAACTAAGTTATCAATTTATATCGCTCTTTGCACCCATAATTAGTTTTAAATATTTACTTATAATGTTCAATAAACCTAATTATCAATTTTTTTCCTATCTGTACTTTATGTCACAAAATTACATGCTATTTAATAATTGAATAATAAGAATATGAAAATTTGAACTAAGTACTATAAAAGTTAACATAAAAATTTAATCCAAAAATTTTGAACCCCAAACATTTTTTCATGTATAAATTTAAAATTTCATTTTGGAAAGATAGGAAAAGAGATTAAAACTTATCATAAATTGGTAATGCTGAAAAATGAGCAAGTTAACAAACTAAGAGAAAATAAAATGATAAGATAAAACCAACAAATAATAATAATAATAATAAAACAAAAGTAGTTAACATCATGACAAAACGAAAAATTTGAAAAAAAAAATGGGTGAGGAAAGAGAGGAGACTTGAGGAAAGACAATTTAAAATGGATTAATTGGGTTTGATGGGTTACTAAATAATACCCATTTAATAAATGGAAAGCAACGGGGGATGCATTTGATAAGGTAAGATAAGGACATAGATTTGTTGATATTAAAATAAAAGTGACACAATGTAGGATATAATTTATATTCTATTTCTCCTTTTTTTTTTAATTGGATCCACGTGAGACTTTTCTGCACGCTTTACTATGGTGTGAAACATCCTTAGGGATGGGTAGCAACGGAGATGCATTAGCAAGCGAATGAAAGCGACCTGACCCCCCGCTTGCTAATGCATCCCCGTTGCTCATTGGGGTGTGGTAGCAAAAAAATGACAAAGACATGTCCCTTCACTCCCTTCTTGGAGTACATTGTCAAAGACGCAACAGCAAAATTCATTTCTCGAACACCAAGTCTTGCTGCTCCATTATTGAGAATGCATTTCCATATGATTGTTTTGTTCGGGTAAGATAACACATCAACCTTTCCAATTTTTCTTATGGTGCACATAGGATCAATTAATGTGTGCTTCAAGGGAATTTTTTTTGGCGGTGGCAGAGGGGAACGCGCAACGGATCTTCTGTACTACATCCTGTCACACTCCTTCTAATGTTGCCAAGTGTCACCTGATAATATATTTGCAATTAAATTAATATTTGAAAAAAATATAAATTGCTCTCCAAAAAAGTTCTACAAAAAAGACCATCCTTTCTCATTTTTCATTTTGTAGCTTTAACACTTTATATCCTTCCTATGAAGTTCAACCAATTTTGGTTTGCGCCGAAACCTCGTGTTAGATGTCATGTAATTTTCTCTTTTTTCTTATTACTTGTATTAGGCTAAGTTTTGTACTAGTACCATTTTCGAGTTTGCAATTGCAGAAATGTGGGTCCATTGTTTTGACGATAGCTTACCCGTAGTGGCTGGTAAAACGTGAACGAGGGCAATTTCTTGCATACATGTGCGGACGTAGACATACATTAATTTGTGAGAATTCTACGCAGATTAAGTCAACTTTGATAGATGTTTGTATATTAACAATACAGTTGTTAATTTTTTGGAAACGAGAAAGGGATGGACGTAGCAAGAAGGGAGAATTTGGTTTAATTTTTAATTCCACTTCCTAGACTTCTGGCTGTTAATTCATCAATCACTTGTAGCAGGACCATTATTTGTGGTAAGGTGCAACGAGGTTTCCATATTCACACTCGAAGAAGAAATGTTGAATTCCAGTTTCCATTTTTGTGGTAATATTTTTTTTTTTTTTGTACTTGTACTCTCTCAATTACACTCTGAATTGTTTTAGGCATTGAATTGTTGCATGTTCTGAGACCGTTGAGATATGGAAGCATGTACGATATAAATAAACATGCTTATGTTATGTAATGTAATGGCCCTCCTCCAAAGTCCTCCTAGTCACTGAACAAGCTGCCGTAGTTGGACTGATGAATTTGCCCTTTTTTCTGGTTCCGCTTGAAGGCCGACTACTGAGATGAATCTTCTGGCTGAATCTTCCACAAATGAGAAATCTATAGTCTTTTTTTTTTTTTTTCTTCTAACGATAATGAGAAATCTATAGTCATTGGACAAGAATGTTACGTCATTACATTTACAGTCTTATTGAGAGATAATATATTTAGAGATTTGAACTCAAAATTGTAAATTATTACGAGATAAAAAGTTACACTAAATTCACATCTGAAAATCTGAATTTAAAATGTCTAATAATATTAGGGCAATTTGACCTCCATTAAAATTATAAGATTTTGCCAAAGGATTTATAGCCAACTTGCCATGGGTATCTCAAGAACATTTGTGTTGTTGTGGCCACGCGATGTTTGGATATATGAATGACAAAGGTTCAAAGTTGGAGATTGTCATACATTGTGGGGTTTGAGCTGTCTTTGGAGTTGAATACTATGCAGAGCAGTATGCTACAATCAAGAAAGGGCGAGAACTAGCTTTAGAGCCCGTATCAGTCCTTGGAGCTACATCCAAAGAAAAAGTGAGGATCACCCCTATAGCCTATATCAAATATATATTTCTGAGTTAAATTAGTTATTGTCCTCCCTACCAAAGAAAAAAAATGAGTAAATCAGGTTTAGTGGAAGGAAATAATTCAATAGTATGATTGTAATATAGATACTTAAGTTTGAATACGAGTTCAATTGAATAAGAGTATTTTGGACGTGTGCAAATTTTCACATGAACAATATAATGGAACTAAAAGTTCCACTCTTAGAAATATAGGATAAATTAAGGTTATCTTGGTCCAACAAAACTTAGCAAAAGATGAGGTTCTTCATTTATAGATTTTTGTGCTTTTTCTTTTATTTATAATTCCTATAACTTCATGAAATCAGATCTTACAACAAGATGAATCAAAAAAAAATAAAATTAGCATACAACACATAGTTCAATTTTAATATTTTAAAAAAGCAACAAGAAAAAAAAAAAAGAATTGTACTGCAATGGCTGTCACTTGTCATTTGTCAAGAAGGATGGGCCTCCTGGTTCTTATTCTATTCTATGCTGCAAGTCAAGTACTTAGTAAAACGATTTTTTTTTTTTTTTTAGATGTCAAGGATAAAATTTAAACACATTTGCTAATGCTGATGACATTAGAACCAAAAAAAAAAAAAAAAAGAAGCGATTTGGATAGCCAAGGGTATTGCTGGTATTCAAAAATTAATGCTATAATAATTTTTCACAATAATGCCGAAACTACCTAGCTATCCCAAGTCAAAATGGTGATATATCGAAAAAGAATTGGTCTGACACCAAAATACGAACTTTCACAATAATGTGGACATGGGGCATTCAATAGCATTCTAAATAAAACTATACCACACAATATGTAATTATCACCGAAGTTTTTATTCTATAATAATCCCCCCCCCCCCCCCCCCCCCCCCCCCGTGAATAATTAGTACTTTGTTCCTTAAATTTTCTGCAGTAAATGTGATCTTTAAAGCAAAAGCAAGGTGGAATTTACGTGGAAAAAATCAAGCCCTGTTACCACTCCCTTAATGATAAGGTGAGTTCATTTAACGAAGAGGATTTGCATCAATAAAATCAATTTTAAGATAGGCACGTATAATGTTGGGTGCTATTAGGTCTTCTCACTCTAAAAATTAACGTAAGGAGTAAGACTTGTCCTCAATCTAGAGGTGGATAATAGTGATATGCCTATCTTCCTTGGGTCCTTAGCAGTAGCATATGATATCTTTACTTCACGGCCAAAACATGAGTAGATCGATTTTTAAAAGATTCAATAGCTCAAATTGTGTCATATTATTCATAAAATGATGTAACATTATAATTTGAATAATTGATTAGATGCATGGTTATAGTGTGCGGTTGGGACTCATCATTAGAGTGAAAACTCCTCCTCCTCCTCCTTTTTTTTTTTTTTTTGGAATTTACTAAATCCATATCAGCTTAGAACTGAAAACTGTAAAGATCTATTTATTCGTTCATAGTCCCTATACTTTCTCAATCTCTGACTTTTCTTCTTTTTTTTTTTTATGCCAGTGATAATAAATTAAATGATAGACTTCGTAACTTATATATAAGATCGATCATAACATGATAACCATATTCCGACAAAGAAAAGACTGAAAATTAGAACATTATTTATCACCTGCTGAATTATATCTTAGTTATTGAAAGAAATAGTCACGTGGACTAGCTATTTCCATATATAAAACATTGATCTCTCTTTCTTCTTTTAAGAACATTCTACAAACACTTTTTTTTTTTTTTACTAACAGCTTCTTATACTTTATATATATTAGAGTCTAATACGATTTACAATAACAAAAAATACATAAAACATATCACAACAAGCAACCCAGATGTTATACAACATATTAATACTAAAGACTTATTAATATTAAAAAGAGTGAGAGAGACGTATTAAAGCAACTCATGATGCTACTCATAATGGACAGGAAAATCTATTAATTATGATGCGCCTATCGCCTTCCCTATTATATTATTGTATTTGAAGATGTTACTGTGAGTTGATCGGGCGAGAATTCTGATTTTCCAGTAAAGTATCCGCGGAAGGGGTGTTTGGTTAGGGGGCTGGGTTTTTGGCTTTTTTTTTTTTTTTTTTTTTCCTGAGTCTTCCTTAAATTTTCAACACAAGTAGAAGTGTTTGGTTATTTCATAGATCCCACCGTCAATATAACAAGATTTACCCTTAATTTTTGTTGATAAGGCCCAAAAAGGTAATCAGTTAACAAGAAACCTTAAAGTACAGTCATACATAAAAGAAATCCAATCAAAGCATCATTTCAACATTCCCAAAAATTAAGAAACTTAAAGTACAGTAGTAATCATTATTGAAACAACACACGTTCATGTCTCCTGAAGCAACTTCCAGAAAAGACCATACAAAGAGAGATATTATTTTAACTAAAAAAGGACATGTCTCATCATCAAGTCATGAAACCGTGGCAGAAGATGTTTAAATGTCTCCAGCAAAAGCACCATTCTCCCCCTTAAACCCTGATTCAAATGTATCAAATACTCCAATAAGAAAAACAAAAAGCATAACAATACCAAATAACTGCAAGATCCCAAAAAAAAAAAAAAAAGACAGAGGTGTACCGGTCACTCAGAGAGCGATTGGCAATGATGATTATGAAGAAAGAAATGCAGCCGACGGCGATAGATATCTCAATCATTGGGTTGTGAAGGGGCATTGAAATGGCTAGGAGGAAAGCCGCAGCGCCGAAGAGAACAGCAAGATGCTCCATGATCAGAGATGCCTTCTCGTTACGGCGTCGAATGTAGATAGACACCAAGGAAGCAAAAAGGGCCAGCTCGAATGTCAGGCAGAACCAGGAAAAGGTCCTGGGGAGAGGTGCCGGAGTATGGAGAGCTTGCAAGGCTGTGTTAACAGCCGGAAAACAAACTCCGATGACCATCTGCCCCCACTGCAGCTTGGTTGGCATGTCGGGAATTTTGGGACCATGATCATCAGATTCAGGTAGTCTTCCACTTGTACCTCGCTCGAGGTCGTCGTTGATGGGTGTGGGTTGTGGCTGTGGGGCTACTGAGCCGTCCGCCCTATTCCCCCGTATGAAAATCGGCAGCTCCGCGAGCTTGAGGTTCAAGGCCCATATCAAGAGGAAGGCCAAAACAACAGTACTGGTTTGTCCGCTCATTTCTCAGTGCTCAGAGTACGTAAATTATACGGGCAATTAAGTATATCTGGCAGCAATATTATTAAAGCAAACAGAACACTGACAGGAAGTGTTTGTATACTACCAGGAAAATTCAAGAGGAGGAGGAGGAGCTATATCATAAAGGAGGAGGAGGGGAGAGGAGAGAGTTTCAACATAAGGAGGAGGAGGGGAGGAGGATCTATATCAAAAGGAGGAGGAGGGGATTGGGGTTTAAGCTGCACCGCCACTCCAATTGTCTAGGCTTCAGGCTTCTTCCTGTAATTTGTAAAGTGCTTCGTCCTCTGCATATATATACAATTCACTTGGCAGGGCTGTGGAAGTGGTAGTGGTAGACGGTAGTGGTAGTTTTGGGGGGCTCAGAAGTCTACAACCAATCGCTAATTTACAGTTGTACTTTGGGACACGCCCTTTTTTTCGACTTATATTTCTAAGGCAAAATTTACTTTATTCCATGTGATTTAGTATTTTTTTTAAATAATTTAAATCAAAGTGTGATGTTATTTAGTCCATAGGTTTTTTTATTATATTGTTAGTCTTCAAATTTAATACTTAGTATTAGAATGGCATTTGACATTTTTTTGATATTTTTTATACAATAGTGGTTCGATATGTGACTATGTGACTTTTTTTGATAGTATTTGAGAAAAAATTGTCAAGGGTACTAAATGTGTTCAAAATTAAATCAAAATTTAGGTACCCGAACTGCTTTTACTCTGTGAAGTTGTGGCCTTGTGGGGCCATGGTTTTTTGCGTGGGGATGAGATGAGAGCGAAATTGCCGACTGCCATTCTATGCCAATTGCCAACTGCCTTCAAGCCCTTTACTCTGCCTCTTAGAAATATAGAATAAATTAGGGTTATCTTGGTCCAACAAAACTTAGCAAAAGATGAGGAACTTTTAGTTCCATTATATTGTTCATGTGAAAATTTGCACACGTCCAAAATACTCTTATTCAATTGTACTCGTATTCAAACTTAAGTATCTATATTACAATCATGCTATTGAATTATTTCCTTCCACTAAACCTGATTTACTCTTTTTTTTTTCTTTGGTAGGGAGGACAATAACTAATTTAACCATATGCTAACATATGAAATTAAATTACAGAAAATATTTCTAACTGACTACAGAACAATTACAATAATATTATTCGATTGTAGTTAAGATACTATTAATTCTGTGCATACTTATTTACTTTTCATTGATTTTACTCTCAACTTCAACATTTGCTTACACTGGTAATCATTGGTTATTATCCGATTTAATTCTAACTTCGATCACATGATGCTTAATTGTTGCTCATCATTGGTTATTATCCGATTTAATTCTAACTTCGATCACATTGCCTACTCTTTCTCTCTCCTCTCGTCACTCTCTCTCTCTCTCTCTCTCTTACTCTCACACACTACCACCGATCTCCACAGTCCCCACTAGCCAAAAAGGCATCCGCCCAGAAATTGTTGTGCTGCAACAAATTTCAGCAAATTTCATATAGATCATAAAACTGGCTAGATAAATAAACATACCGAAGTATTAATACATCATGCAACATTAGCATATTTCCCAAAATAAGAGAAATAAAAAAACCTTCTGCCTGTTGAATTTATCGAGAAGCAAGAGAGTTCTTTAACCAGTAAACACACTACCACCGATCTGTGGGATCTCCACAATGACACGTCCACATCAGGGCCCAACTTTGCGAAGAAATTGCGAAAAAAGACACACGCACACATTTGTGAACATCTTCACCATAGGCTTAATCTCGTCTTGGAGTCCACGCAGGATTAAGCCAAAAAGGCATCCGCCCATCCTCCTTGTTACGACTTCACTCCAGTCACTAGCCCTGCCTTCAATAAAGGACAAAGGATCCTTTGTCCTTGCTGGGTTTAAGCCCACCGCCACCTTATCTCTTAAGGAAAATTCTCTTAAGGAAAATCCTTTGTCCTTCAAAACAACCGCGCGAATGAAATTGCGATCTAGCCAAAAGCCTATTTGATCCTACCAGCATTGAGACCGGAGTTTGCAATTTTGTGATATAAAATCATAGAATTGTAATGATAGGATTGAAAATTTAACACTTGTGGTGCTAAATAAACTGAAAACCAGAAACTATCCTTAATTTTTAAGTTTATGGAAGAAGATATTACTGAATTTCCCACTAGAAGGTAGATTTTTTTTGTAAGAGAGAGAGTTTCAACTTTGTCTTTTAAGCATCAATTAGCATGCTCTAAAAATACTTCTAAGTTCTTACAGAAGGTTAACGGATCAAGAGAATTAACCCAGATGTCAAGAAAAAAATGCATCCAGTGAGTTACAGCTAAAGTCCCACATAAAAAAATTACAACAATCAACTTCCGTTTTTTGGGAAAGATTTATTGATCTATGGACAAACAACATATTTGCTAACTATAGACAGATTGACGCTTACAGTATGTTACAATGAGGCCAGAAGGCCAGGATATGGCATGCTGCCACAGTCAATTTGGCCTCAAGCAGAATTATGTGTCAATTAATACATCCATATTGTAGCAAAGCGATAATTACCTATCTCCTTAGCATTTGAGACAGAATAAGTAGAAGATACATCTGTTGTGTGGTTTTTAGGATCTGAACAAGAAATGTTGAACAAAGAAATGTCGAACGAGTGGATCTGGAGCAGGTTTCATGAATCAAGCACAGACGGAAGAAGAAAATCAAGAAAACAAAAAAAGATTGAATAGTTATTTTTTTCCACAAAGATTGAAAGTTTTTTTTTTTTGGGTCCACCGATTTTGCACAGATCTATCTGTTAGACTATCTCAACAATCAAGTGTCTAATTTAGTCACAGATCTATGTAAGCTCATCTGATTTTGCATCTATGGTATTTCCATTTCATATGCAAGTTACTTGAAATCCAGGAATAAGGGCAAGAATTGAATATGGCCTCCTCTCAGCACATACAATTGGCTGTCTCTTGTGAGATGCACTTCAAACTACAGATTTTATAGTTGTAATTAGATAACTTAATCAAAATGGTTGCCAAAGCCTACTGTATGAAGTAAAGATATCACATGAAACATTATTCCACTTCTTAGACTTCTGGCTATTAATTCATCAATCACTTGTTGCAGGACCATTATTTGTACCACATTTAATATCATCCTATAAATATGTTTTGGGTTTTTTTATGTTGATATTTTGATTTAGGACAACATTTAATTTGTTTCCTTACATTTATATAGACGGTGTGCTTGGCAAGTTGATGACAAAGGTCAAGAAATTCACAAATTTTTCCATCAGAGTAATATTTTTGTGGTAAGGTGCAACGAAGTTTCCATTTTCACACTCGAAGAAGAAATGTTGAATTTCTTCGTTATCTCTCTCTCTTCAAAAAATTCATAACTAAGTCTCTTTCAGCATGTCCATGTCAGTTTGTCCGCTGTCTTTCTTCAAGAAATTTAGACCCTTATGGGTTACATGAAAAATGCATTAAACAATCACCATTTGGACGAGAAGTAAAATAACTGGGCTGTTTTGAATTTTACAAATGCTTCCGAGTATTTTTCTACTTGACCATTGATTGCTCCTCTATCATTAGTTGGGGCATCTGATTTTTTTTGCTGCCAAAATAACAAATGCGAGTGTTAGACTACTGACACTATCAAAGCAAAATCAATTCTCATCTGTCTGCTAGACATTTTTGCACAAGAGCCTCATTTCACGCTCCGTTCAAACTCGGTAGGGATTTCTACTACAGGTAATGCGGCCATGGTTTTTTTTTTTTTTTTTTTTTTAAACATTCTGAACTCATTACTCTTTTTCGTAAGCAAGTCGACTGGTCAAGTTGGACTACACGCTCCCAGCGACGAGGAAGTAGTAGTATCAGTAGCCCAATTGCGCTGTGCGTCGTTAATGTTACTATCATGGAACAATGGAAGGGAAATGCATGTGGCTGGATGAGATGGTTGTCATTTCCGTGCAGTTCATCTGTTACATGTTAATAAGGAATCCCAACTTGGGCCCGCAATATGAGGTGTCATAAGATTTGGGGTTGGTCCCGGGCCAGCATGTCTTTCCGTATAGCCGTCATGTGGGAGCCATAATCATTCTCCCTGTCGGCAATAACATCATGTGGGAGCCGTCTATGTGTTTGAACTTTGAATAGTAAAAAATTACATTTTATTTATTACTCCTCCTTTTTTTATAATTGACGTTTAAGAAATTTATTCTTAAGTACTTTTATCTGTCTTTTTATTATCCCCATGTAATATTAATTATTTTTTCATAATTTTACCCTTTTATCTCTCTTTTCATAATTGATGGGAGTTAGTTTGTATTGCTTTTGGCCTAGTAAAACAGCACCATTTAATACTCTAGTGAGAGAAAATATTGGTGAATTGGATAATTAATAAGGGTACAAAAGTAAAGTAGTGTATAGATTTAAACAATAAAAAACTTTTCTTAATTGGTGTGCAAAACCTTAAACGTCAGTTATAAAAAAAGGGAGGGAGTATACATATTAATTTATTTTTATTATCAATATATTTTTCAATCATTTTTTTTATTTCACTGCATCACATCAAAAAGTGTAATAAAATTTTTTTCATAAAATTATCAGAAAACAATTTACAATCCAAACATACTCAAAATAACCACACCACTGGGTCGACTTTGGTCCCGGGCGGGGAGCCGTGTCTGATTCGTAAAGTGAGAACATGATGACGAGGGTGATTGAATTGAGAGCCAAAAGGGTTGAATCATTGAGCGAGAAAAATAGAAGAGACAGAATTCAACAACTGTGTGAATTTGGAAACTTCTTTGCAAAGACCTACTTTCTTACCCTTCTAGCGTTGGGCTAGGAGACTGCCTAGTTTCACTATCTGCATGCGTCTTCAACCCCACCCTCCACCAACCTTACCACTAAGATATTACTACGATGATGAACATCTGGGAAAAATTTGTGAATCTTTGTCATCAATCTTGCCAAGGGCATCCATCTCTTTGCAATATATATGGTACTATTTCAGTACCGCATGGAAAGTTTGAGTACTTGAGCATTTTGGATATGTTATAAGGGAATTTGTGAGTGAATTTGAGTGTTAGGTGAAGACATAATTTGGTTTGATCTATATTGTATGGGAGACATGGAGATAAGCGTAGTGATGACCATGTGGGTCAGCCAATTTTTGATCCCCACATATCAGCTAATTTTACAGTCGCGTTAGATCCTACTCGTAAAGTAATAATACCTTAAAATTTGATCCCCCTCGTAAAATTTCTTTTTCAGTTTTGTTGGCTCCTTTCATTTTTTGCTCCTAAACATGTAAAGATTAGTCTCTTTTAATTGTACTGT